GTGTTTAGGTCTTTACTGCATTTAGTTGTTAGGTTTTGGATGTGAGCATCCCAGGTAAGATGTTCATCGAAAATAAGTCCTAAGAATTTGGTTTGTTTTTGAAATTTGATTGTTTGATTGTTTAGCTGGAGGATTGGGGAGGCGGGTTTCATGTTTTTATGTTTGAATACTATTCCTGTTGGTTTTTTCTGAGTTAAGGGAGAAGCCCCATTTGTCAGCCCACTGTTGTATTTTATTAAGAGATTTTTGGAGTAAATTTTGGCCGGTCGCTTAGTCTCTCTGCTATACATTAGCTCGTTCTTGCGCGCTAAATGTAAACTGCTAGCTTGCTGATTGCGTAGTCTTATCTATTTTGTCTATTTTTTTTTTCTATACAGGTTGTCTAACGTTCATGGTGTACTACGTGTAGACCGTATAAGATGAATTTGATCCAGCTAGACATACATTTTTTTTCCCTACCTACATTACCCGGCGTATATCATGTTGACACAACCCGTCTCTATTGTGGTATGATGTACTTTCAACACACACCCTGCATTCATCAAACCAGGTCGCACGCTCTCGCACATACCACATAGCTGGGATAATTCGTGTCACGTTTCAGCGTAGACCCGAGGGATAGCTCATGATGTCGAACTCTGGGTTCTATGGCCCAGGCTCGATCATTTACTGACCACTCCCATATAACTGGAATATTGCCGAGTGCGGCGTAAACAAACAAACAAACAAATCAACAGAGTTAAGGTTTTTGTTTCCTTGGTTGTGTACGTCCTAGTCAGCAATACTGCAGCTATTTCACGGCGGCAGTGGACCAGACAAACCACTGATAGATATAATTGTTGATATCGTGTACACAGTTCTGCTTCTTCGACACAGCGAAATATATTAATGGTGAATAATAAAGACGTTATTACAGACGTGCGTGTATGATACCGATTTTACGAGACTCGTGTCATAATGCGTGTATTCATGAGCTGTCATCCCAGAAATACTAAAAATTAGGTTTAAAAAGAGAGAGAAAATGGTTTTCAGGCACAAGCGCGTCACTTTAAATCCTGTCATTTATATTTCCAATTAATTTTTTTTTTAATTTTTCTCCTTCACCACTTTTGTTTTCAATAAATAATATTAATAATGCCTTACTGCACTTCTCAAGAAAAATGTGTCCGTGGAGTTTTTATGCAGTCTTATTAGTGAGTATAGTTTTACGCCGTTTTAGCCATATTCCAGCAATATCGCGGAGGGCGGACAACAGGAATGGGCTTTGTTACGACGTAAATTGTAATAAAAAGGTAAATTGTAATACTTGCAGCAAATTGTAATAATTTTGACGTAAATTGAAATAACAACGTAAATTGTAATAAAATTTGACGTAAATTGTAATACGCAAATTGTAATAAAAATTGACGTAAATTGTAATAATCTCAACTTGCGGTAAAATGTAATAACTTTTTACGTAAATTGTAATAACCTTATAAGTTTAGTGTCAAAGGCGTTAAATGACTAGAATCTATCCTTGTCAGGTTTGGTACAGGGTTTATCGTACAATCGTCTTTTAAGTATGGGTGTGGGGGAGGATTGAGGTCGTTATCGTACATTGTTGTATAATTATATGTATATATAAACGCATTGGAATTCCATTTCTATGGTTGTCCAGAAAAGGATTAATTACCAGAATGAACTTAGTTTTCTTATTTATTTGAGAAATACTCTGTGTTTTGTATTATATTATGACGAACAATTCAAATACAACAAATGAGTGACAGATCTCCCGTGCAATGTCAAATGAAAAAAAACAGTCGTCAGCAAATGCAGCATAGATTTCCCATGCATGGGAAAGGAGAATACTTAATACATAACATTATATACAATGTTTTTATTAATATCAAAAGAGGGGCGTGGATATTCTTTACCTACATTGCATATACTATTAGATATTGTGTATTCTCGATCTCTGTGAACTTCTCAGAGATAAAGAAATAATAATAAATAAATGCAAACCATGTTAACTTATGCAATATTTGTAGCAATGTATGATTAACATATGGATCATTAATATAACTTAAAATATTTCCTTTTATAGGAAGAAGTATATTTAATGAAATAAATGAATAATTGTAACTGTCTGGGTTCCTTTCATATGTCATGAAGAACTAACAACAACTTACTGACATTTTTTGCTGGGATAATAACTCCCTGCCCCAACAACAAAAACAGAATCCATCGTGATAACGGCACGAAATCATAATTCAAAGCATACACAAATAATATCCGGTATCTTCGGGCATGTCTTGTTGAGTTTCAAAGAGCATCAGAATGTATAATAAATTTGTTGCAATCGATTGTTGCTGAAATAAATCTGTTTTGATCAAAATTGAAACTTGGAAAATCTATAATGAAAAGGGTTTTGTCACTAACGTAAATATTCTCTTTGACCTTATACGAAGAGTATTCTAAGATCATTAAACTCGGCAATCGTTGGTGGATTGCTCCAAGCAACCTTGATACCAAATTTGGTATCTCACGTATAATGCGGTACATAATTTTCGAAACAGATAAGTACGTTTTTCATAAGATATCACTAATTTGTGACATATATACGGACAAAAATTACCTCAGAGGATAATCTTCTCTTGGGGTTTAAGAGGATTAAAATAATTCCAGCTAACATCAAGCACTGTAATAAAATATTGAAATTATAGCATACCTTCTTAACATTCCAATGAAAAGAATAGTGACTAACTAAGAAACCAAATTATATTTATCTCCGATACTATGCCCTCATCAGTATACACACACACACCAACACACACACATACATACAAACACATACACACATAGGTATGTATGTATCTGTGTGTGTTTATGTATGTATGTATGTATGTATGTATGTATGTATGTATGTATGTATGTATGTATGTATGTATGTATGTATGTATGTATGTATGTGTGCGCGCGCATGTAGGTGTGTATGTAATGACAGTAAATGTGAGCTCTATGTCATTGGTATCACACACATGACTGCATTTCTACATACTCTAGATGACAGTATCATGTACGTAGATGAAAGTATGTAAGTGGACGACAGTATCTAGATGGCATACTATCATCTACGTAGAAGATACTATCATATACGTAGATGAAAGTATCTTCTACGTAGATGATGGTATCTTCTACGTAGATGATAGTATTTTCTACGCAGATGGTAGTATCTTCTACGTAGATGATAGCATGCCACAGACATCACATCACTTCCAATAAATGTCTTTCACTATGTTGACACCACCCTTTAATGACGATTGTGCGATAAAGCCTATACCAACCATCCCTAACTTAACAGTTTTGTACGTTTGTCATCATACACAGTATTTCTCGAATTGTACATGTGAAACACAAGCTCAACTGACAAAGATCGTTTCTAGTCAGTTGGCGTCTTGGACACTACGGTAGTAAGGTTATTACAATTTACGTAAGAATTTATTACATTTTACCGCAAGTAGAGATTATTACAATTTACGTCAATTTTTATTACAATTTGCGTATTACAATTTACGTCAAATATTATTACAATTTACGTTGTTATTACAATTTACGTCAAAATTATTACAATTTGCTGCAAGTATTACAATTTACCTTTTTATTACAATTTACGTCGTAACAGGCTTCTTTGTAGCCATGTGGGGCAGCCTCACGACTTCGAGCATGCACGTGTGTCGTACTGATTTTACTAAACGAGTGTCAGAATTTGTGTATTATTTCCCGAGCGGGAGCGAGGTAAATACGTGTGCATGGCTTTTTTTACATCAGTAGGTTACACTGTGACGTGATCTCTTTGTTATACCGACTTTATGTTTAGCTCTGGTTAAAAAGTGTTGTCTTTGCTATTGAAAACTGTTGGAGAGCCGACACGGTCAACATGGCGTAATCACGACGTCATTTAGGAGATAAACATACTGTGTTTTCAGTATTGAGCTGGATTACCTGTCATTGAATATTATACTGCAACTTTACATTTTGTAACCTACAATTACACATATAATTATTTTGAAATGCCTCCAACAATGAACGAAAAGAAATACTATGCTATGCGGTCGTCAAATCGACAGTTAAATCAGAGGTGGTTTATTGTGATTTGATAACCTCTGATTGACCGATCAGAATCAAGTAATTTCCAAATTCATGGTAGAATAAACTCATTACGTCAACAACGGTGTCTATATTACCAGAGGTGCATTACGTCAGTAATGTTCATGAAATCACCCTGTCTGGCGCTCGGAATTAAGGGTCTAAAACAAGGACTGGTCGGCTCGGAGTCAGTATACTGTGTGGACCCGTGAAAATTCCGGGGTAGAATTGGTCTTCAGCAACCCATGCTTGTCGTAAGAGGCGACTAACGGGATCGGGTGGTCAGGCTCGCTGACTTGGTTGATACATGTCATCGGTCCTAATTGCGTGGATCGATGCTCATGATATTAATCACTGGATAATCCAGACTCGATTTTTTACAGACCGCCGTCATATAGCTGGAATATTGCTGAGTGCGGCGTTAAACAACAAACCAACCAACCAACCAGTATACTGTGTCTGAGTGAGGTATTCATGTTAAACTGCGGCATGGTATCTAAGTGTGCTAGCACTATAAATCGGCATCAGTCCGGACTAGTACAAGCAGCCACACACACACGTGCATGCACGTCGCTGTATAAGTGCAATAATCTTGGACGCGAAGTTAAACCTCACCTCACCACCTCTATAGTTAAAATCTTTAATAGTAGAACAATATCAGGGTGAATATATATGGCCTCTGACGATATGAATCACGCGTACAAATATCTGTGTTTATCTTACCATCTTATGTTTAAATGCTGTAGAGGACACTAAAGTTTTAATAATATCAACAACTAATTCGTATAATCTGCAAGCCAAATTGCCATTAAACAAGTCCTTTTTGCCAGTGCAATTGCACAGGAAGCGACGCCATTTCTGAAAGTAGTTGCTGTTTTCTACAGGGCACTAAATATCTAAGACACCGTTAGCAATGGCCGCCCACAAGAGAACAACATTTCGTCTCGGCTGTAAATCGTCGGCTATATTACGGTATGGCAATTGTTCTTTATATTTATAATACGTGGTCAGATAATATTTAATGTTTAATGAATACATTATTATGTAAGTTATTTGTTAAAGACGGTTCAGAAAAGAGTAAGTTTCAGCTGAGCAGTTTCGAAAACAACCGCGTTGGATATTTGCTTCGTACTTCCGTCCAATAGGCCAATTTCTTTGGTCGTATGGAGATAGAAACACTATGTATTTGTACACTTTGTCCATCGTGCTTCTGTTTTTAGAGTCCCTGTTACATGTTAGTGAAGTGCTTGGAATCATTTACTACTCACATAAATAGAAACTTGTTTATTATGAGTCCAGGGTATCCATGAAAGGGTCGGGTTTCCAGCATCACGGACCGGTGTTGAGGGTCATATTTATCCTTGCATAAAAATTATCCGCACTAATGTCATGCGTTCACATTAAGAAATAAGTAATATACCACATGATGTCATTATTACATTTACATGTTTTATTTTGTATATTCCTATTTAATTAGCTCAGAGGAATGAAATATAGATGTCACATGTACTGCTATCCTACACTAGATAGATGTATGCCTAAGCACATACCGTATTCGACGTAATAAGCGCCCCGCTCTAATAAGCGCCCAGGGCGACATTTGCTAATGTATTGGCTAGTGAACAAGCCCAATTAGCACCCCTTCCGATTGATCAATGTACACAAGACTTATAATACGCACTCGTGTGTTATATGCACCCTTAATTATGGGCAATTAAATTCTGGAAAAATATATCTGTCGTACATAAACACTTCAGGCTGTCAGCATAAACCACGAAATTTATCTTTCAACTCTGTTTTTTTTTCACCAAAATAATATTCTTATAAGAGCCACCTATTTCTAATTTCGAGAGCGCCCTGGGCGCTTATTACGTCGAATACGGTATAGATTCTAGATACAAAATAGACAAATAATGATAATAATAATCCAAATAAATATTTTCATACATTAAATTGAATTAGATAATTAATTAAATTAAACTAGATAAATTTGATGACTTAAATTATATAATAATAAAAATTGGGTAAAATATAATTGAATAAATAAACTACATTTCTAACTTAATAGATATATTAGTAAGTCTTAACCAGAGTAATCAAAATCTCACACACTCATAAGCTGTTCTCAGCGATATGCTTCTGTATTTTATTTGTTATGGCTGAACATGCTGAAAGAACATTGTACTAACTATGCTAACTAGTGTAACAATACTCTGGGTTCACCTGAACTGTCTCATTTGGATGTTCCTTATTTGGCATTTCCTGATGGATTTCATGGAATTGAGATGACGTGACAAGGGAAGACATTACATTTGTGAGAAAGACAAAGAGTTCAATAAGACTTACATTCACTTCTTATCAAACATATGGTTATTTAAATAAATTTTTAATTTTGAAAACTGAATTCAGAATCATATTTCTTTCAATCGTATCTATTTTTTAATAATTCAGTGTAAATAATCAAGCTCCACAACACATGTGCATCAAGCATGGCTGAACACTTATTTTCAACATTTGACACAATGACTGTGACACTTTCTCAATGGTAATGCTTACAATATATGAGTTGAAAAGAATGGACTTTAAAATTTATAAAAAAAGTTGTAATGATACTTCTTTCAAACAATTTGTTGGGGCACGTGTTGCTAGGTCGTCTAAGATGCCACAGTTTGCTGTGCAGAGTGGCGTCCCCAGAAAAAGATTTATATGACTGAGGTTGGTGCACAACCAAGAATATGTCACTTCCTGTGACGGGTTGTGTGGTCGGTCACTATGGGGCTTTTACCATCGAATCTGTTTATAACCTGTGTGAAACCGAGGCTTGTTTTTCAAGAATATTGTCTTCTACATGTATTTGTGTTTGTGTTGTGTAACAAGGGACACACCTCCTGCTAAAATGTCACTAACCAAGACCACTGTCTGAACCGGACTAAACTTGCAGTCCCACACAAGTCCGGTTCAGACAGATTGCACTGTACATGTATGATCTTAAAGGCTCTGGGGCTCGTTCCACAAAGTGATCGTAGCATTAACATGATCATAACTCCCATTCCTTAACATAGGCTTATGACAGTCGTAGCATTAAGATGATCCTAACTCAAATTCTCTAACATAGGCTTACGACAGTCGTAGCATTAACATGATCATAACTCCCATTCCTTAACATAGGCTTGCGACAGTCGTAGCATTACCATGATCATACATCCCATTCCTTAACATAGGCTTACGACAGTCGTAGCATTAACATGATCATAGCTCCCATTCCTTAACATAGGCTTACGACAGTCGTAGCATTAACATGATCATACATCCCATTCCTTAACATAGGCTTATGACAGTCGTAGCATTCACATGATCATACATCCCATTCCTTAACATAGGCTTATGACAGTCGTAGCATTAACATGATCATACATCCCATTCCTTAACATAGGCTTACGACAGTCGTAGCATTAACATGATCATAGCTCCCATTCCTTAACATAGGCTTACGACAGTCGTAGCATTAACATGATCATACATCCCATTCCTTAACATAGGCTTATGACAGTCGTAGCATTCACATGATCATACATCCCATTCCTTAACATAGGCTTATGACAGTCGTAGCATTAACATGATCATACATCCCATTCCTTAACATAGGCTTACAACAGTCGTAGCATTAACATGATCATAGCTCCCATTCCTTAACATATGCTTACAACAGTCGTAGCATTAACATGATCATAACTCAAATTCCTTAACATAGGCTTGCGACAGTCGTAGCATTAACATGATCATACCTCCCATTCCTTAACATAGGCTTGCGACAGTCATAGTATTAACATGATCATACCTCCCATTCCTTAACATAGGCTTATGACAGTCATAGACCTATGATCACTTTGTGGAACAGGGCCCAGGGTGTCAGTTTTAGAATTGATAACCGGTGAGTGTGGGTGAGTGAGTTTGGTTTTATGCAGCTTTTAGCAATATTCCAGCAATATCACGGCAGGAGACACCAGAAATGGGCTTCACACATGGAACCCATGTCGGGAATCGAACCCGGGTCTTCGGCGTGACGAGCGAGCGCTTTAACCACTAGGCTACCCGACCGCCCCTGCAGTGGAGGTGTTTGGCTGTCTCACACCCCCTGAACCAAATTACTTCCCCTTCCACCCAACCCTTATTGTAGTGCTAAGTGCAATCTCATTAAAATCGGACCTAAGTTCTTGCTACTGCTAAACAAAGATCTGAAGACATCCCATTACGGGTCACGTTGGAACGACCTTCGCGAACTTTGACCGACCACTGAAACGACTAACAAGAAGTCGACATCAGCCAATTAGAGAGCAGCTTTCTCGAGTGTCACGGCACTCGTTTCAACCTGGCGACTTCCATTTCAGCCTATGCTTGAAAAATATGTTGACACAGTTCTCGATTAAAATTTTGAAAACTGAACAAACGAACATTCCGAAATGTCTGATGTATGGTTGAGATTGTATAGCAGTGCTTTCCATGTACTGTACAAAGACACCTCCGTTCAAATGTTTATCCCGCGGAAGTGAGAGATAGACGATAATTTTGACGGAATCAGTCGTACTGGCCCTAACTGTTGTTCGGAATACCCCATGTTAAGGTTTTCGAGGTTGCATGATTAGAAAACACATTCCGACTGTCACCTTCATGATCTGGTAGGCGACGCTTTGATTGGTCGGATGAAAGGTCATTCTGACGTGACACATAATGGGATGTTCTCAGATCTTTGTTTAGCAATAGCGAGAACTACGATATGATTTTAATGAGATTGTGCTAAGTGAAGCAAGTCAAGATTTTCCACAGGTTCATCTGATTGCAGGGTCTCCTTTTCAATTGAAGTGTAGCTGCTTGTTTCTATCAACATTACATATTTTCAGAGACTAAGCATTAGTCTGTGAAGGTATGTGTGTTGAGGGGTCATGTGAAGGGATTGAATCAGTTACGTAGATGTGGAACTTTACGTTGACAATCACCACACATGTGACTATCATTTATTACAACTGTAGTCTAACAAGGATATGGGGAATACTAAAGACTCATCTTTAGTTATTTTCAATGATAGGAATACCCATATTTTTTTTCATACTGTTCAAAATTGTTTAAACCAACAAATTCATTTATGAGTGCGTGAGTAAGTGAGTATGGATTTACGCCGCGTTTAGCAATATTCCAGCAATATCACGGTGGAGGGATTCATTTATTAAACAAAAAGGAAATGGTGCCACATGCAAAATTTCAATCTTCCTCCTCAAATCCATCATGAAGTATGGGTGGTCCAGTTGTCCAGTTGTCCAAGGTGCCACAATTCCCTGTGTAGATTTGTGTCAACTGAGTTTTCCAAACCTGTAATTATGGTTTCTCAGAGCTAGAGATAAGCTGTGTATTTGTGTAAAATACTCATAAAAAAATGAAATATGCAGACAAATCAAATATTAGCGTATCAAATATCCAACAAAAACTCTAAATACGCTATTGAAATACGCGATTATTTACTGAATATAGTTGTAATATTGCTGAGTGTTGCATGGAACAACAAATAAACAAACAAACATTAAGTTTCTTGGTGGTCAAGAAAATTGAAACCATAATAGACATTATTTTCTTTCTCTTTCAGAAAAATGGCGTAAAAAGACAACACGGAGATGCAGTGAGACTAATGTTCTGCACACAACGATCATGTCATCATGAATAAGCAATACACATTCTTTAATGCAGAAGTCGAGGCGGAAGGAAATATAAAATTTGTCAACATTGGTTGTGTAGATCCACAGAAAATAGAGAAGGGCCCCACTGTCCAACAGTCGGGCACAATGCAGCCCAACTTTGTACCAGTCATTATGCCCAACCAGACATTCACCAGAGTCCCCTCAGGGACTGAATCTGTGGGCCCGGGGCCGTTGAGGTTCCTCACAGGGTCAACAGGGTCCTCTGTATCGTCTATGATCATGTCCCAACTGGCCAGCCTGCCAGTGCTACAGAACACTGGGTCTACCATGCAGGTCATTCCCAGTTCTAAGTTTATGGCAGGCAACAGCACTGCCTCTGTCGTTGGTCAAACGCTGCCTGTTATGCAGTGTGTAAGTGGATCTTTTCAAGCATCAAATACTCTTCAGGTGATACAGAACCAGGCTAACATCCAGATGGTGCAAAATCAGCCGTCTGCCAGTGCCTCGATTTTGCGGAATTCTCATACAAGTAACATTCAAATCTTGCAGAATCCGTCTCAGAATGCAATACAGGTAATGACAGCTCCATCACAGGTTGTGCAGAATGAGCCTCCAAGCAATCCCCAAATCACTCATCAGCCAAGCTTGCAGAATCAGTCACAGAATGCAATACAAGTGATGTCTGCTCCGTCTCAGGTTGTGCAGCCTCAGAGCAATCCCCCAATCATCCAACAGCCACATTTGCAAATCATCCAAACTCCCTCCGGGGAACTGCAGCTTGTCCCAGTGGAACAGACCATGCCTGCCAACTCCTTCTCCAATGCTGTCAGCATTCTGAAACCTCAGCGTGTTGTTGGTAACAAAAAGGTTATAACAGAAGCCAAGTCTCTGATCAAGAAGGAAATTGGTTCAGATGACCAATCAGTTGCAAGTGAGAAGAGCCCATCTGCTGCTAACCCAATACTAAACAATTTGTTAAAGAAAGTCAGGAGTAGAATGGACAACAATCGGCAAAAAAAGGCATCTGTGGCTAAGGAAGAGTCTAGCAAGGCCCAAGCTAAGCAACTTCCAAATATTCTTCCCAAAGTTAAGCTGCTTACCCCCGAAGAACTCTTAAAACAACACCAGGAGGTACATATAAACCAGCCAGTACAGAATGAAACTGAGACAAAGACATCAGATGATAAAGATGCAGATAAAGATGATGATAAACCTGTTGTTATCATCAAGGACCAACACAAGGAGAATATGGAAGACAAGATCACGTTTGCTGGCACCTCGGTGAAGCCTAAATTTGCCATAGAATTCTCTCCAAATAATCTGCAAGCCTATGTTCAAGCCGTTGCAAATGCTGTGGAGACTCATAAGACCATGTCCGAGCAGAGTAAGTTAGAACTCAAGATCAAACGTAAGAAGGTCAGGAGCAAATGTGTAGAAGAAGAGTGTTTTCTGATGGCTGAAGTTCCCAAAGAAAGTGCTTCAGTGCCGAAAGCTTCACGGCGGAAACAGACATTAGCTGTGAGGAAAGACCCATTTGATGGATGCGAAATGGTAGTTGAACCTTATAAAAGACAACCCAGAAAACGAAAGAAAGCAGCTGCTAGCGCAGAGTCCGCTGTGCCCCCTGCAAAGATGACAAACTCTCAGACTGATGTAACACTGCATGATACTGAAAACAGTGTTGAAGTTGTTCCTACCCCTGATCCTGAAACAAATCAGAAGCAGAAGTCTCCACCTCGAGAGATTGGTATCTTCATTCCACCTACCATGTCCAACTCTTTTTCTTCATCAAGCAAAAAATTTAAGCCTCAATATCAGGTTAAAGACAAAGAAAGTATCAGTTCTTCTTCATCCAGTCTATCTACAACATCCACAGTCTCAGTACCAACAAGTTCTTTGCAGAATTCTGACGAATCTGTCCTTCCAGTTCCAGTCAATGAAATCAAGATAGAACCTCAGGAGAAAACGGTATCTCCTTCAAATACCATACCCTGCAAACTGAAAAATGTTTCATCAAATGACAAGATTACAAAGGACAGGCCCGTGAAACAGTCGAAATGTGAAACATTGTCCCATATCTCCTCCAACACCGAAGCTTCCAGAAACCCATGTCCTTTACCCATGGCATCAATTAAGGTGGAAACTTTGAGTTCTGGGTATGATTCCTCACCATGTAGAAAAATTATCAAAAAAAATTTAAATTTTGGTTCTACTGAGGTGGCCAGATTGACAGCAATATCAAAGATGCCATCTCCTCTTCCGAAACCTATGTCACCAAGTAAAACGGTGGCAGCCCCACGTCCATGCATAGAACCCCCAAAAGAAAATGTTCCTCATTCAGCTCCAGAACCTACTTCAGTAGAGCAACTTTTAGAGCAGCAAAGCACAGTCTATCAATATTCAGTGCTCCCAACTTCACGTCATACAAAATCAGTGCAACAAAGTCAACAGCACCTAAGTGCACTAAACCAAGCTCTGATGCAGCGTGTCACTGAATTTAAAAAAGTATTCAATTCTGTTGTAAGGGTCAACACGAACCTTCCTGAAGGTCATGTCTTGGAAGAAAGTCAACAGTTTCCTTTGCCTTCTTCCAAACAACCTTCAGTAATGCAAAGTTCAGTAGAGCAAAGTTCAGTTGAGCAAAGTGCAGTGCACCTAAGTCAAGATCATCTAACTGCAGTGCACCAGACCATGGTGGAAGGTGTCACTGCTTTCCAAAAGGTTTTCAGTTCAGTCACAAGTACGAACACGAAGCCTCCTGAAGGTACTGCCTCGGAAGGACCTAAAGTCTCTATAGCCGAGACGCCAATACTAGCCACAAATACAATAATATCCCAAGAAAATTCTCTGCAGACCACCCTCGGGAACCAAAGTATTCAAACCGGCTTCCTTACACCAGCAGTTCAAGAGGATCCGTCGGGGACCCCCAAACCAAATGGGCTCCTTCTGCCAGCAACTGTAAATGTTGTACAACCAACAATTGGTCCAACTAAATTGCCAACTGTTAATTCAAGTGTGACAGTACCAGTTACTCCTTTATATTCGTCCAATTTTATGCAGGTTCCTTCTATTTCACGACCTTCTTTGAACATCGTTAACCATGCCAACCAGCAAAAGAAAGTGTATGTTGTCCCCTCATCTCTGTACACTGCCCTGGTGGCGCAAGCAAACTCAGGAAAACCTGTGCGACTGACGTCTGCTCAACTCATGGCTTCTCTGGAACAGACTGCTTCTGGAACAATGGCAATACCAAAGACCTTAATTGATGCCAGTGATGTTAAGTTGGTCAAAAAGCAAGACGAATATAAGAGTCCTTTAATTCCAGTACCGGTAACAGATCTATTACGTACTGACAACAACCCTGATGTATGTGAAGACACGGACATAGGGTTGATGGAACTTAAAATAGAGTCTGTGTTTTCGCTTAATAAGGTTTGTTGTAAGCTGATGGACAAGGTTCCTAGCTATTTAGATATGTGTCTCAATTCCAAGTTAGAACACTCCCTGAAATTGTGTTTTGTTGTGCTAGACGACAGCCTGCCTCCATTGTTTCGGGGCATAGCTGGCACCAAGAGGACTCGCTTCAAGATGCCCAAGGCCTGTACTGAATCATGCAGAACCCAGGCATTAGACTCAATGTGTGTGAAAAATAAGTGGCGTAATATTCGATTTGGAGAAGGTAATTCTCAGACTTTTTCTGAACCAGTAACAAAATGTGCAAAACGAGAATAGAAAAGAACAGAAAGTATGAGGTGCCTTATCTGACTACCCAGTGTTCAAGCTCTTTTCGTTAAGCTCTATTTTTGTGTTAGTTTTTGTTAGTTTATTGCTCATGTTATTTTATCATGAAGTTATTTACATGAAAGGGTTTGAAAGTTAACTTGTTTTCAATAATCGCCATAATCTCTAAACAAATGTCTGTCTGTGTTAAAGTAAAGGGGTTCTGGCAGTTGTAGTGATGAGACTGTGAGCAATATGTGCAATTTCTTCAGCCATTTTCATCCTTGTGATGATGCTGGTGAATATAATAATTAATAACTATGGTATAAGATTTTACAAATATCCAGTCTGCTGGCCAAACGACAGGAAACATCACTCATGTTACAGTGCTCAACACTAACACTGGTCTGCTGGTCAAGTCTAGTATATTTTCTTAAGGACCAGAAAAGTTAAATAAATACTGGTCCGCTGGTCCAGTGTTATTTTGTATATATTTAAGTTTATACGACTTTTGAAATCAGCGATAGATGGAGTCTAAACTCTAAGCACCATTGTGTCTAGTAGAGATCCAACAGGACCAATAGATTTTTTCTTTGGTGCCAGTCCTTTAGACCACTGACAAATTTTGGTCAGCGTCAAGCACGGAATGTGAATCAGGACAAGTATTATAAATTCTATCTCCATTTGAAAATACTCAATTCTTATTGGCCAAATTACAGTAAGAAAGTACTTCTTTCTCAATTATGGTCAGAATCTAATATTGTTAGGAAACAACTTCTTTCTCAATCATGGTCAGAAACAAATATTTATAGGAAACAACTTTTTCCGACAAAATATTCCATGGATGTGCAACAATTATTTTTTTGAAGAAAACAATGGAAATCAACAAAGAGAGTGTTAGGGCTGGGAGGGGTAGCTCAGTACTCAGGTCAGGTAGGTCCTGAGTAGGAGCTGGGTACACACAGGACTACCCAGAGCTGTAGTCACGTGATATAATATTTAATGACAATAACAATCAAACTCCATGGTTACACTACAAATCGCTAAATTTCTTTCTGACTATGCACACATTCCTTCTGACTTTTACATGTTTCTGTAATATTCAGTGTCTGCATGATCAGATTGTTTTATGCATGTATCGAAGTAGTTTTTGACAGGGCTCCGGTAAAACAATTTTCAATCAGACATTTTATATCCAACTTGAGACCTACAGTGGGTACCCAGGTAGGGTCGGGTAGCGGGGGTTGGGTACCCAGGTAATACATTTTAACTCCCAGCCCTAGAGTGTATAACTTGAACCTTTCCAGATAAGCTTCAGCTTTCTCAGATTCGACCACTTTAGGTTTGCATGCTAAGTAGCCGTGCTACACACTTTCAGCGTTCCAGTATTTATGGGTAAAGCCACGGATGACCAAACCAATATTTGAGTATATTCATCAGTGACGTGTTATTTTTTTAGCAATTATCAGTAATATTTTTTCAAATCTACAACCTATTGAACTCAAACTTAGCTTGTGCTACCTCACCTGAAAATTTTGTAAAATTATATTTGCTGAAAGCTGCTTATATATTAGATGAGAGAGAACTAATGTCAGACACTTAATATCTGAAGAGAACCCATCTACCAAGCAAGTGGAGAAGTCAGATTTGTAATGGTTTTCCTATTATTATTATTATTATTATTATTATTATTATTAATAAATATTATATTTTTTAAATATTTTTTTTATGCTGAGTACTAAAGAAAATGTGAGTTTTGTTTAGTCAAGATTTAAAAAGTTGTTTTTTTGTTCAGCAATTCTGTTAGACAAAGAGAATTATTAGAATATAAATGAGTAAAATTACTCAGATAATCTTGTTCCTGTCTGTGAATGTTTCTTAAGAAGATGCAATATGAGGCTAATATGTGACAATGCAATGTGTGCATCCAAGTCTTTTCTTTATGATTCAATAAAGATAATGATACACATTGTCTTCACTGTACATGTACATCAACGAAGGTGGTTGATGATGTTGTAAATGGCTGCAGGATTGGCTGATCATGGATTTGCCATAATCATCCTTCTGATTTTGTCAGCACCGTTACAAAGTGTTTAACAACAATAACCTATAGTCCTTCGTGATCTGCCAATTATGTTTCTAGGTTGTCAGACCTGTGGGTTTCACCAAATGGTAAACGTCTGAAATCGTCTTGGGCTTTCCTCCCACATTAAGCTGACACGCCATGATGACTGGAATACTGTTCAAAGTGGCATTAAACCCAACTCACTCACTCACACCACCTTCATGGACTAGTGGACAGTGTCTGACCAGAGCGTAGGAAGTCGATGGTTCCTTGGCCTGTGTCATACCAATAGATGTTAAAAGATGGTACTTTTTGTTAACCTGGCATTCAGCATTAAGTAGATGCAAGGACTGGTCGGCTCGGAGTAGGTATCCATATTAAGCTGTGGCCAGGTATCAGTAGGTTAGCACTATAAAACAAGCATTAGTCTAGGCTAGTACAAGCAGCCACATAAGCTGTTTGTTGTTCAACACCGAACTCAGTAATATAACTCTAAACCAGACAATCCCATGGTTGATATCAAGAGCATCGATACATGCAATTGGGATATGCAACATTCGCGGTAAAAAAGATGACACTTTTCATTAATCCAGCCATGACACTAAGAATGGGCTTCACACATGTGTAACTCCATAACCAGCGTTCAAAATTAATCATAAAAGTCCAGGGGTCCTTTTCATAACTCTAATGTTAAACATTTAAAGGTCGCTAGTCAAATACCATAGTCCAGCATCCAGGACCCCCCTTAATTTCTACCACTGCATACCCATATAGTGAACCAAACCCCAGACCTGTGTATGTTACAGTAATGCCTTTAACAACATGCATACTCCAGCGCCCATAAATAACAAAACAAAGTTGTACACTCAAATTTTTATTTTTTCTAAATGCCTTGACGAGGGCTTTAAAAGTTTGAGTTATGTCCCTTGTCACCATGATGTGCTCCTTTCAATCAAGATCAGTCTACCACCATAAATAAACAACGTACATCCTCAACCAGTAAACAACAAGGCAGGAACCTCATCTAGCTGGTTAGATTTAAAGAAACACAAGCTTGAAAATAAAGAGGAAAAAGGAACACTGATGACACAAAGCCCCTTATACCTTAGGCTAAAAAAAATAGTCTTGGTTCTCAGGCACCGCCCCCATCATCAAAGCCTGCCCCACATTTCGCTTTTATTTCCATTTTCCCCCAAAAAATTAAAATCCTCCTATTTTAAAAAATGCGATCCAATATTGCATGCAGTTACTTCCCTTTACATGTGCACTGTTTTACTGTGCATCTCGAGATATGGTCATGGCGGCAAAAGGATTTTGCATGCTTGTTTAAGTAGGGAGGCACTTTCCCAGGATGATGGTACACACCTTTTTATTTGGTTACATACATGCTAGTTTGAACCAGCAAAAAAACAACGCACGCCCACACTATATTTTCAAAAGTTATTGCCTGAGAACCAATTCTTTTATAAAAAAATGTAACCCTTAAGTTACATTTGATATCTTGACCAACAAAATCTTCCCTGACGAGGTAGCATTATTTGCAGGGCTAGACACGACCACTCGTCCATTAGTGCGAGACTGTCAAAAATCGTGACGGACCTGTAGTTTTACATAAACCTCTAGTCCGAAATGAGCTGTGGACTAGCTGGATATGGCCATTTGCATCTACCTCTGACTTGCCTTTTCACACAACACATTCATTAAAACCTAAATGCATATACCTACTGGTAACAGACCACTTTCTGTTGACATTAACAAAATCAAATCAATTTTCTCTCTTATCATAAAACCTTGATGTGAATATCACAGGTCACCCAGATCCTAATGAACTCTTTAACAAGGGGTTTGAATCACTCATTGCAGATGATTGATAATCACACAGACTAAATAACGATGCAAGCATCCATGGATGCTCTCCAGGCTTGTTACTGATAACATATCCTGCGACCCTCCATCATAATTGAATATATGCCGATATGTATCCCTGATCCAGACATCACTGAATAAACACTGCATCTGTTACCATGGTTTCTCTCACAACCAACACATTCACTTTACACTCTGAATAAATATTTCAATACTGTCAGTAAAACACCTCAATATTACAAATGAAATGTGATCATTTTCTTCATGATTATTAAGATAGATTTAGATACTAAACAAATCCTGGATCACAAGTTCCCAAATTAGTCGCTGCGGACTTATCTCCCTTTGTATATTTCACATGTTATGGCAGAATTTTAAAATTGTAAATATTAGTATCAAATTCCTCAAGTTTGTTAGGTTTGGTTTGTTTTCTTGTGCGTACGTTGTCCCTTGTATACATTATCACTTGCTACGGAGATTTCCCTTCTGCAGCTGGTGTGGTTTCTGGGGCTGGTAAGGCAGGCTGTCCCTCCCGAAGAGATTTTCTATACCTGTTGGAAACACAAGCAATAGTTGGTTGGTTTGTTGTTTTATGCCACACTCAGCAATATTCTAGCTATATGACGGCGGTCTGTAAATAATCGAGTCTGGACCAGACAATCCAGTGATTGATATCTTGAGCATGGATCGATTCGTTTTTATTTCCATTTCCAAAAAAAATAATGTCTTCGTGTTATGAAATCAAATCAAAGCTCATTGTATGGGTGTATTATGAACACACTTGTAGTTGAAAGGTAGTCAAGTACTGGATTCCAATATTTAACTCATCAAGAAATACATTCATGTAGGGTGGCCTTTTCCCAGGTTGATTGTACACAACTGTTTATTTGGTTACATACTACAGTAGTTTGAACAACAACAACAAAAAAACACTGCCCACCCACACTATATTTTCAAAAGCCATTGCCTAAGAACGAATGTATTATTTTTTTTAAGCCCAATGGAGGAATGTAGTGTACACAAATCTGTGAAGTATTATCGTTAATCCCCATCTTTGTACCTTAGTGTGAGTTAAAGCTTAACGTCACATCGGCAATATTTCAGCAATACTGTGACGCTTTGTACCTTAGACAAGTCAGAGGGAGAATAAAAAACTTACGTAAAAATTCTGCTCAGCTGGAATATTCCCGTCAAACCGACAAAGATATTCACCATAAACAGATTGTAGTTCTTTGGGATGATCACAAGGGAGTACCGCGCCCATATACAACCTGTCAAAGAAGATTCCATTCATCACATTTAAACAAGATATGACATACTGTGGGTAACGATAGGAACGAAATAATGGAAGCCGTCAACGTCATGCTTGTTCTGCCAGTCTTATCTTCACTGGGTTTTTCTACTCACTTCTTGTTAAAGAGTATAAAACTGATCAATAACAAAGTTTGGTCAGAAGCAGGGCCATTACACGATCACAGGGTTTTTCATGATCGGCTCTGCACTGGCAAGCAAATTCTCATATTTTTGTTTTTTGTGTTGTTTAACACCCACCCTCGATTATCCAGTGTATTTACTCCATTTTACTTTGATAAATATCCTGATCCATTTGCTACCATAGCCTCGTTCAGAGCCTGATTCAAATAGCATGCCATCCAATCAAATTACTCTAAGAAGTGAGGGAGCTTCTGTACAAGGTAAGTGATAAACCAGTGGAGATGGTGCCGTCACTTTTGAAACAAAGCTATGGTGGAGAATGTGCAAAGGGCACTTATCACAAAGCAATGAAGACCTAAATGTCATAATACCCTTACGGACGCACTCAGCAATATTTAAGGTATATCATTGCAGCCTGTAAATAAACTGGACCAGACAAACCAATGATTGATATTATGAGCAACATTCCACACTGCCCGGATCTGATGACACGCAATCAGTCCAAGTCACTGAGTCTTGACTCTCAGAATCATTTAATCGCCTTGTATGACAAGCATAGATTTTAACCCATAATCCCTACAGGGTTTACTTGTGCACCTGGCAATATTGTATCATCTGTTAGCCTACCTGTAGCAGCAAGAGCTGATGACTGGTATAGACTCAGTTTCTCGGGGGGACGAGCAATGTCACCTATACCTGCAATAACTAATGCCTGTAAAGAAGAAAAGTTCCATGAATCTTAAACACATTAAACAGTGATGAGTACTGTAACAGGGCTTATGAATACCGTAACAGGGTTTCTGAGTACTGTAACAGGGTTTATGAATCCTGTAACAGGGTTTCTGAATATTGTAACAGGGTTTCTGAGTACTGTAACAGGGTTTCTGAGTACCGTAACAGGGTTTCTGAGTACCGAAACAGGGTTTCTGAGTACTGTAACAGGGTTTCTGAGTACCTTAACGGGTTTCTGAGTAGTGTAACAGGGTTTCTGAGTACTGTAATAGGGTTTCTGAGAACTGTAATAGGGTTTCTGAGTACTGTAACAGGGTTTCTGAGTACTGTAACAGGGTTTCTGAGTACTGTAATAGGGTTTCTGAGTACCGAAACAGGGTTTCTGAGTACTGTAACAGGGTTTCTGAGTACTGTAACAGGGTTTCTGAGTACCGAAACAGGGTTTCTGAGTACTGTAATAGGGTTTCTGAGTACTGTAACAGGGTTTCTGAGTACCGAAACAGGGTTTCTGAGTACTGTAACAGGGTTTCTGAATACTGTAACAGGGTTTCTGAGTACTGTAATAGGGTTTCTGAGTACCGAAACAGGGTTTCTGAGTACTGTAATAGGGTTTCTGAGTACCGAAACAGGGTTTCTGAGTACTGTAACAGGGTTTCTGAGTAGTGTAACAGGGTTTCTGAGTACTGTAATAGGGTTTCTGAGTACCGAAACAGGGTTTCTGAGTACCGAAACAGGGTTTCTGAGTACTGTAACAGGGTTTCTGAGTAGTGTAACAGGGTTTCTGAGTAGTGTAACAGGGTTTTGGAGTACTGTAACAGGGTTTCGGAGTACTGTAACAGGGTTTAGAGTGTGAGCATCACATTCACCACTTGATCATGTTGATTGGATACATAGCACACTAAGACATCTTGGCTCTTTAACATGTTCAAATGCTAAGTCCTTACCTGCATGTTGTATTAAGTTGTAAAATAGGTTGCATGCACTGACAAGACAAATTATTGAGAGTATCACAAAGTGATAGTTAGCATCCCTATAATATATTCAACATACCCATTTGAAGGTAGGAGCCCAGAAGAAGATTGTTTTTGGACCTGAAAGACAGAACATGCAGTAAGGTATGACATTGAGTGGGTTAGTGAGTGAGATTGTATGCCACTGTAAGCAATATTCGATCAATATTACGAAATGGGCTTCACACACAGTACCCATGTTGGATGTCGAACAAGGGCCTTCGGCATGACGATCTAACGCTTTAACAACTCGACTACCCCACCACCCCGTATAACATTGACATAATCAGCTATTTTGCAATAACCATGATAACACTTGGGACATAACAAAATACATTCTCAATCAAAATATTTGGCGCACTGGAACATCGTGAAGGTAAATGTTTTGGAACTAGGCCTCCATGAACTGGGACTCCAAAACACTGTGATATTCTTCACTGTGCATTGGACCGACGCTTGTTTATATCCGATGCATAAGCAGCATTAGACTCGATCACATAGTTAGTGTTGACCGATTTTGAAGAGACAAGCACGTCAGATTTCAATTTCGTGTCTTTCGAGTGTTTTTACTTCACAAAATCTCACTTGATCAGTTACTATCCATGACCTTGACACACTAAAGTAGTAGCGATGAGTTGTTTTTAGTGAATGCGGGTACCTGCTGGACTATTCCACAAAGGCACTAGACTGTGAGGGACAAATCTGTCAGCTGCAGCAATCATGCTGCGATAAATTGCAGACATCTTGCTGGGTTCTGTCTCCCCTCTTCTGTTGGTTGACAAAACTTTCACAACTGGTACAGGGGAGATAACTCTACGCTACTTCCTTTTTGTGATGCGGCGGAACGTTCCTGTTCCAAGTACGTCGTTCTGCAGTCACAAGAACTTTCCTCGACCACCACACCAGTACCTGTGAAGTTGTGAACAATCCCTTTGGTTTTGCTTTTAAGCTTTTATATTTACTGATACTGACTTAATCCAAATGACAATTGGTGAATTATATGCTAGTGGTGTTTAGATTACTTCGATTGAAAAACCCCAAATGCTTTTCCGAAAATGTTTTCTACCATCCATTCGATCTTTTAATTCTTGTCTTTTTACAATGAAATTATCTTCCTTGACTTTGGCACTTCTCTGTTTTCAGAAACAAACCATGTTGATTAGTAACTTTATAGTTTATGTCGTATTTTTTCCAAGTAAAAGAACATTATGCTTCCTGTGCATTTCACATCACAGTCATTAGCTGTTTCAGTCATATAAAACAGGACGAGTGGAGTCAAAAACCTTGTCCAAGGAAACAGCACAGTGATTCGCCTGATATGGCCTCTTGAAATGGAAGAGTTGAAATGGTTATAATTAAGAATGTGGTAAGGCTTGCTGTCTCTCATGCTCGTGTTTCACTGTCACTCTGTGTGTGTGTGTGTGTGTGTGTGTGTGTGTGTGTGTGAGTGTGTGTGTGAGACCATATTGCGGTTGCGACGTTTTATTGAGGCTGAATTATTTTTCAAGCAGATGGAGGCTGACTTTTTCCTGTACCCTGTGGGAATGCCAGATGACCGTATCCTCTCACTGATGTGTCATGATTTTATGTATAGGTTTGTCAGCACCACACCCATCCTCGTTGCATGATTTCACAAAAGTGATAAATGTCCAAGACCTGCATCACTTCGGGCTTTCCGCCTACATCAAACTTACACGTTATGACAGAACTGAAATACTGTTAAAAGCGGCGTTAAGCCAAACTCACTCACTATTATACAACAATGTTGTTAAATGTGCAAGATCACGGCTTTTTTATAGTTTCTTTCTAATATATTTATGTTATTCATCTGATAACAGGAGATACTAACCTTGGCGAACCTACCTTGGTGAATCTCAAACAGACTAAAGAATCAGGGATTCGAAACCACTACCCCTGATGGATCTAAGGACGCCTGCAACTACTGGGCCACCCCTAGAACTTCCAGTAATGTTATCATTTAAAGGAAATATACATATGCGCTTCCAGGTTTGTTTGTGCTGTGGAGTATTCGATGCCCGAAATACGTCTAGCGGACGGAATGCCACGTCTCGGGCTGAGATAAAATGAGCTCGGTAATCCCACGTTAACAAGGATTCTTAATAAAACCGACAGCAGGGCACAACTGTGTTTGTATCCGTCCAGTTGAAAGTGACCTAAAGGAAGCCATCGAATAATACCCGAAGGTTGGAAGACCTAAAATAACACGTGACCTAACTACGTTACAGTGGAAATCACTTTCTGCACACGACACCAGTGTTTTAACTACCAATTGGAATTATCTATTTAAGCTAAACCTCTAGCACGACAATGTAAGCCTTGTTTTGGGATTGTGCAGCGCTTAAAATGAATGATCGATGACTACCTTTAAATGAAACTACTCGACACTATATAACCAAATTAACACTTGGTCGTTACGGAGGATCTAGGGCGATAAGGCGCTGCAATTCGCTGTGCAGTGAGTGAGTGAGTATGGATTATTCCAGCAATATCACGGCGGGGGACACCAGAAATGGGCCTCACACATTGTACCCATGTCGGAAATCGACCCGGGTCTTCGGCGTGGCGTGAGAACGCTTTAACCACTAGGCTACCCCACCGACCCTCGCTGTGCAGAGTTGTCCCCTGGGCTCCGCTAGAAACCTATGATCGTGGGTTCAAATCACAGTTCGCCCCGATTCTCAACACATACCTGTAAAGTGATAAAGTTCGAAGAGCTGCATATATTCGGACCTTCCTCTAACATTCAGCTGATATGCCGTGATATAACTGGAATACTGTTCAAAGAGGCATCTCACTCACTCACTCACTCACTCACTGGTGCAGTCCCCCACGCTGGCTATCCCTAAACACTCCAGGGCCCACTTGCACAAAGCGATCTTAGTGCTAAGATGATCGTAACTCCCATACTTTAACATAAGCTTACAATAGTCGTAGCGCTAAGATCGCACTGCCAAATAAATCACTGTAAATAAAAGACACGGACACAACAACAAACACCATAGGTATTTAAGAACGATTTATATAACCAAAATTATTTATTATATGTGAAAATAAAATAATACAGTAATGGTGATACTGCTTTATGGACGGCGTCGCTAGCTTTTATGTTGGCTCCAGGAGGATTAATTCGTTGGGTGGCCCCTGCACACAATGACAATGTATAATAGCACACAATAGCACTAAGGAACTTATAATAAGACAGCCATGTATACCCTTATCGATTCTATTTTTGCATACATTGAATCATGTGCTCAACGGAGTGGCTATAAACCGGCACTGCCGTTTCCTTGCATAAAATCAACACCACATGCACGTCAAGGCTACAAAATATATTACTGAGCGAGTGGTGTAAAGTCGTCCGATGTGAAGACCCCTCGGAAGACTGCAAGGTGCATGCGCGCAATACTGCTTAAGGTGTATTTGTGTATCTGATTCGATCCAATATTGCTTGGCACGAGACACACGTAGATCAATAAATAAGAGCATAGACAAGTTTAACCCATTTCCATGCCTCTCGACAAACAACTCGACTGTGACAAGGAGGTATTTAGACCGATTTGTGTACCCCAATAAAGCCGACGATTCGTCGACATATCGACGCGATTCGATTCGTCAGTAAACGGCCAACAAGCATTCTCAGATAAAACTTACAATAAATAAATATAATACCTCTCATTATGAGCATAAATACCCATGATTGACACCCTGCTTGGAGCAACACCGATTAAACGTTGAGCAAAATATACATAAATGTGATGAAAATGTTATATGCTAATATATAATCAACACCATTTCTTAAGCGAATTCATACGTGAATTTCTGTGTCGTTATTCACATCATAATATTGGCAAGACAAGTTATCGTGTTCTCAAAATACCCTGAAAAGATTATGAAGCTGTGCTTCAAACGATTGTGCAGACGACCGAGCTGGGACTGTCCTTTGTTTCAGAAGGTGCTGAAGACGATGATTGTCCAGAAATTAGATGGAGAACATGTCTGTGGCCAAACTTGATCGCTGCAGCCTCCAGAGTTAATGGAGTATAGGGACCAAAGAAATTATCTCTGTTTGACAGATCTTGCGTCGTCAGGTCCACCGACCCATTGCATAATAATACCTTCATTCTTTCCTCATCTCCTGCAAGTGTCGCATGAGCGAACTCAATCGATGCTTCGTTTTTGATTAGCAGTTGAATTAGACTGTCGTCTGCTCCGCTTACCTTGGCAAATTCTATCAAACTGTTCTTGCCCTTACTGATATTGACTCGACACCACGACTTGACTAGTTTGTTGACCCGGAATCGGTTATTATCTGCGACCGATTGCCACAAACCCGGAGAGAACTTCCTGAAATATGACCGGAACTCTGCCACGAAGTACCCTGCGTGTTTGGCTATAAGTTCCTCGTCGTCCTGATCCGCCGTAGCGCCACATTTCAGCACAGCCACCATCATCTGTAGTAGATTGCTTTTGATTGAAAGCTGTAGCGCTGTTCGCCCCTCATTGTCTCGATGATCCAAATCAATCTCGGCATTAGACAACAAATAAACAAATGGTACATACTGCTTCTCAGTCATCGACCGTGAGGCCAGAATCACAACATGTAAATACGTCCTGCCGGTGAGCTTACATCTTACATGAGCATCTTCCCCTTGTCCTATACACAACAGAGCTGAAGTGATATCACATGATTTAATACATCTATATAGTCCAGTCTCCGCGATATCAATACTGTGACTGTCGCTCCTTGAGAGTGCATTCATTCCTCAGATCAACACATCTTGTATAACGTGGCCTGCCCACTGTCAGTCGGCTGCTATGGCTTTGGGTAAATGTCGTCTGCTAGTTCAGCCATCTTGCCATGCTATTCCACCCTTGACTCAAACCACACAAGCTGATAAGTTGCTTCTTGCACAATTGTCGGAGAAGACAGCGAACATTGATTAGCCAATTTAGCGTCAATACCCCATATGACAGGTACAAGTTGTAATCAAAGTTCACGCGTCGCTGTTGAGTTCAACCTTTCGGAAGCCGGCCGCATTAATCATTAATCTACTACGTTAGCTTTTCTAGGTCGGGCTCAGGAAGCAGGCACTAGTATACCTTTGTAAAGAACTTACATAGCTTGCATGATAGGCTCACTGCAGTACTTAATCGCCTTCATACCTGGCTGTCAAACGGTAGCTACCTAACAACACAAACCACTTTGAAATTACCATCACATTCAGGAATGTACGCCAAACTGAACATGCAACAGATAGGCTTGGCTTGGTTTGGTTTCGTGTTTGGTCTTGACGGCACACATCAAGTATGTATTGGCGATCTATCGGTCCGGAACCCGAAATGAAGCGTGTTAAACATGCCTTCGCGACAAGCGTTTGTTGTGCCAACCTCGTCATGTGACTTGTGTTTAACTTGGGTATACAATAACATAGCTGTATACCTATATACCGATAATATTGACATTTGACCAGCCGATCACAATTATCCCCTGGGGTGAATACGTGTTGATATACCGCACTGATCACCCCCCCCCCCCCCCCCCCCCCCCCTCTCTCTCTCTCTCCATTTTACACGTGATCACTTGGATATTGGAACACGATGGCCATTGATTTGAATGGGTGGGTGTAAATTGTTTAAATAGATGTTCATTAATTACTTAGTCTTTTCAGTGTAACTTTATCAGCCTGTATCTAATCAAATACACGTAACCATCACACTGCCTATTAACAGGGTAGTCTAGTGGTTATAGTATTCGCTCTTCATGTCCAAGTCCCGGGTTCGATTCCCGACAGGGGTAC